TTCCAATTAGAGCCAAGAAAGCACCAAGTAATTTATCAGGTTAAAGGAGCTGCCGAAGGCTAGGCTGTAGAAAAGTATTAAACACATTCTCCCTAATAACAAAGGGGATTTTTCTGGGGTCACGACACCCACTGAAAAGCCAACAAAAATGTAGCCGGAGCAGACGCTAATTGGAAGCGTGCATTCCAGGGCAGGAACCTGAGCAGCAGAACAAGTCCCTGGTACTACAAACGCACGGTTCGCACTATCCAGGTCCCGTGGCTCCGAAGCACAGGAGAAGCCACGTGTCAACGTGTGTGAGCAAAATGGATGGTTGATAAATACAGTGGCACCATGGAGAGAATTTGGAGGTGAATTTCCAAATTTAATCAAATCTGAGATCTCTACCAAGGGTTTTTGTCATATTCGTAGAGGCATGATTTGACTTTCTATTACATATTCATATGCTTCCATTCAGAACAACCTTGTTTCATTACAACGGGTTCAGCTGTGCTTCGCAGTCCTGATTCATTTCTTCCAAGGCAAATTCTTCCGGAGATTAACCTGACACATTTATTCCCCCGATAATATTCCCTGTCTTCTCTGATACCACTACCAATTTCAAGCACATTGCAATAAACGGGCTTAAAATTTCTAAAAAGTAGTGACTTGAAAGCTTTCTTGTTCCCACATTTTCTTGGCATGACACATTTCACTTCACAAGTAATGTTGTAAGATTCAGCTCAAGTAAATATAAAATAAATTATTAAGCTTCTAACCAAACGCTTCCTGACCTAAACCCCCACTTTACTGGACTTCGAAAGCTCCAGCACACGCCACAGCTCCAACTGGAGCTCAGGTTTTAAGTAGCTCAAAGTGGCAACTGTTCTTTTCTAGGAGTTCAACGTATTATTCTTCTGCTTCATACGCACAGAAGACATTAGTGAAGATAAACTGTGCAACCAGTAATTGAAATTAAAGTTGCAACATCTATTATGGTAACATCCACTGCGCCACATCTCTAACACACAGAGAATGAAAGGGCTTTCGTGTATGAAGCACCAATCATGATACCAATGGAACAAAAATGCATAAAGAAATGTAATGAAATACATTTACACAACATAAAATTTCCTAAAATAACTTACATTGTCATTACCAGTCTTCTACCATCTTGACAGATACAATAAGTAAAACCCCAGTACCATTCCGGGAGATGTGTCTGAGAAAAACATGTCTTTTTCTAAAACTCAAAAAGTTGCACAGCATTGACAGTAAAAAAACATGTTCAAAAATCTAGTTTCCTTCTGAAAATATTGATGTCCGCTCATCTACAAAGAAGTAATGATCTTTAGAAGAATTCTTTAAAAGTACCTTCCTAACAAAATTTCAGAAAATACCGAACATTTCCAATATAGGAAATAGGAATATAGGATCCAAATTTCCAGTACAGGATTGTTTATGAAATAATATGTAGATAAAGTGTATCATCTTTGGAATCCTAGTAACCATTAAGTTAAGAGTGACTATAATAGCAATAAAGCTACATTAAAAGGGCCACCAACTGAAAGAATATCCAGCTTACGCATGCTCCCGGGACCATGCTTAGCATTCCAGCTCTACATACATTTTTTGCAAATCAACAACTTTTTACAATACTGTAAAATTTGCTTATCATTATCACATCAGTAAACAAAAGCTTTTCCAATATTTTAACCGATTAACACTGTAACCATATTTTTTGAGCTAATCTGAAGTCCTCTATGCAGAAATATCAGCACAGAGTTTTACAGCAAGAGAGAATTAGAAAGATGGAGATGAAGATCAGCTTCCTATTTCCATGGTGCTACATACTGTATATGAAGGTGATTCCTGAGGCACATGACAAACTTGGCTCCATCATCCATCCCAGCCTGGTGAGGCATGTACAATCTTAGCTTGCAACAGGAAAGCGATAAAGAGATTTCTTTGCAAAAAAATCTACTTTCCTACCTTCTAATTGAGATCAGGACTAAATCAGCAGCTCTGGCTATAACTCAGATGCACCAAAGGACCGGATCAAAGCATGGTTATGCAAGGTGCTACTGCAGTCAAATGCAGCTTACTAAATATTTAAGACACATAAAGATAAACATGTGGGACTGTAAATCACCACAAACCAAAACGGCTGGCAAGATCTCTGCAAATGCCTCCTGGATAAAGATACATTATGCGCCTCATTCATTTTCTAATGAGCAACGTTCAGGGGTTTTATTATTATTAATTGCATATAAATTACCATGATTTTTCTATCACTGGGAAAGTATTTAGCCATTCACCTCTCAGAGGAACAATGCTGAACAAAGGCAATGAATGCATGGCCTATAAGAACAATGCAGAACACAGAAATTTATGCATGCCATTTAAAAGGCACGGCATTCAGACTACTGGCAAAAAAATCAAAAGTATGTAATAAATCTTTAACTGTAAGGAAAAAAAGCCCAACTAATGGTTGCCAAGTCCTTGATTTTATTTAAGCAAGAAAACTGCCTGCTTCTGCAGTGCAAAATCTCCCTAACTCACGTATCTGCATGTATCCCCAACCTCCTCTGAAGTGTTCTGCTGCAAAATTCATTGTATCCAAGATCTGCTAATCATCATCAGGAAACTCTGTTATGCATCTTAAGGACGTACTTTAGGCTCTCAAGAGGAAAAATAAACATGTTTTATTAGCTGCTTTTGGAAAATACTGATTTGTATTTATTTAGAAACCTTTTCAAGTTGCACCACTGTTAAATTAAATATTTATGGCGTGATTTTCCAAAGAGTTTAACACCTGTTAAGAGTTTAACACACTGACTTCAACAGGAGCTCCAAGTGCCCAACATTTCTGCAAACCTCAGAACTGACAAGGTTGGGATGTGGCGAAGCAGCTCGAGCACAGATGTTACTGCTGAGCTCTGCAAAGCAACCAGGATCCTGAGCAGCCTCTACTTCCCATCATAGCATTGCATTTCAGACAACTGAATTAGCCACAGTTTACTACAAATAGCAGCAAAATGACTCATTAATACCTGTTAAATCCAAATAAAGCATAGGCTAAATGCTGTTACTTAATCCTCAATGCATCTTCACTTTACTTCACTACTGGAAAACTTCTGTGCTTGGGTGATGAGACATCACCTTAAGTAGCAACTTACAGATGAGACTAAAATCATAGAATCACAGAATGGTTTGGGTTGGAACGGACCTCATAGATCATCTGGTTCCAACCCCCCTGCCATGGGCAGGGACACCTTCCACTAGACCAGGTTGCTCAAAGACCCATCCATCCTGGCCTTGAACACGCCCAGGGATGGGGCAGCCACAGCTTCTCTGGCGAAAATTCACAGTGAATCAAGAACTGGAAAGCAAAGCTGTTGATATTAAGAGCAACAAGTGGAACGAGGATGAAGCCATCTTGGTAAAATACAGAATAAGGAAAGTACAACAAAGAAAGAAAAGATGTTTGGTACACTGCAAAAACTTGTATCCCAGTGACAGTGGGGCGAGTGGCACGGTCTTGAATTGCTTTGGCTTTGGCATTTGGTTTCTCAGTCAAAATTGAAGACTGCATCTCTGGCCCCTCTGTCAAATGAAGTCAAAATAAGGGGTTGGGTCTAGTCATTCTTATTTCATTTAGCTTCTCAGACGTACACTTACTATCCCTCCCAGCTTCACGCTTTTGGGTATCCTATGACACCCGTTCTTGCACGAATAGATGATTTCTCACACCTTGTGGCTAGCTGCTCTCCCACCCTCCCTGGTCCTTTAACTGCTCTTGACTGGCAACATATAGAATCAGAGAATCATAGACTATCTCAAGTTAGAAGAGATCCATAACAATCATCAACTCCCTAGAATGGAGTCAGAATGGAGAAATCTTTGAGGGACAACTGGCCCGCAGGTCACACACTGTCAAGGGCTGCAATAAACACTGCTGAGTAACTATGAATTCTGGCTTACACACACAACAGCCATCATCTTTGATTTAGGAAAGCTGAGGAGAGAAATAGCCCTTAACTACTTATATAAGGGACATTTGATGTAGTCAAGGTCTCAAAAATTTTGAAGTCAAAAGCCCCAGAAATACTACTGAACAAATTCTAACCATTTAAAATCTTCAGTCCAACTACTGAAGAGGAATGCTTAAATCTGAACTATGGAGCAAAGTCACCATCTTACATTTGAGAATTAAACTCTCACATTTCCTTGTGGCACTGGGCCTGTACTTCTGGAAGCAAAAATACTATGTATTTTAGGCAGCAAATAAATTTAAAGACATCTAAGTAAGAAATTACTGTACATAGACATGATTCAAATGATCATTCAACATGATTTCATAAACTGAAGATGAATAAAATAGTTGAACACTGCAGATAAGACACATCAATCTCCTTATTCGCTTTACAGCACACTACAAATCTGCCCGGCAAGTCGAATATTTTACTCATTAAAATAGTAGCTTTCATCACACTATAAAACATTTGCAAATGCAGACCAGAAAACCGACAAGCTTATTTACTGTAAAGCTTTATATTTGTGTCATCAATTAACAACAAAAGTTTGGAATAAAACTAAAATAAAAGATAATCAAAACAGCTAGCTGTCAAAACAGATGGGAACTATGTTTTTCAAATCAAGCAAAAAGTCAAAGCTTTCGAACATTTAGTGTCGTGTCAGCTGAAACAGACAACTCCAAACAGAAGGACAGCAAATGTCCTGAGTATATGAAGAAATGGTGTCCTTGGCTGAAAGATTCACGTTTATGAATTTCCATGGATTTATTTTTTTGCTTCAGGATAATTAACTTGCACCACAGCAGACCTCTGATACATGAACTATAAATAAGGTGCTGCTGCTACACCGCAGACAAACTAAATAAAAACAGAGCCCCGACATTATTTTAGCCTCAAACAAATGTTTCAGTCCCTACATTGTCTGGCTCAGAAAGATACATAGACAGTCTCACAGACAGAGATATAAATGAACAATTGCAGTACCTTTTTCCCAAACTGTTTACAGGGTTGGCTATACTCCTACTGGCAATAGATTTTCTTCTTGACAGCTTCTTGGTGTTGGTGCTGTCATCAGTGCTGTCATCCTCTTTCTTTGGGGTGTTACTTCCTTTGCTGTTCAGGTCCCTTAGCACATTATAATTAATTTTACTTGAGATTTTCTTCTGTTCTAACATCTTTTCAATTGCCTCTCCTGCTGTGCTGGCTTGAATTGGCTCCCTCTTCTTTGCAGATTTCTTTGGCTTAATTAAAATATAAAATTAGTGATGTAGATACAAACAAAGTTTCCGTGAAGCAGAAGGGCGAGCTGCAGTTCAGCAGCCCTGGCTCAGGTGCTGCTGCTGCGGGGATGAGGGCAACACAGCTGGGCTAAGCCAGCGCTCCCTCTCCTGCCACTCAATGGGACCGAGAGGTCTCTTTTCTCCAAGAGAGAAGTGTTCGCTTTTTGCCAAATGCCCACACAGTTTGTTACAAATTCTTTACTTAGCATTTGTAACGCTGCCAGAGAAGAAACATGGGCCATTTCTCATGCATGAAAAAAATGGAGTGAACTCCTGTTCAGGAACAGGGGCCCTGATAGCACTATCCAGCATGTAAATAACGACATTACCCAGCTAAAATTGCCTTTAAGGTTAGAGTCAAGCTGGGTCACGACTCCCCTAAGCACTGACAACTCCGTACTGAAGTTGCAACAGTTTTTTATATCAAGTTCGAATGCGGCGTGGGAGAGCATCCACCCAGCGCCTCCTCCACACTGAAAAAGGCCAAGAACATCAGCAGCAGCTTTCTAAGCGTGGGCTGGCGTCACCGCCGGCGATGAGAAGCAGGAGGCTGCAGAGACAGGAGCAC